GGAGGCTGCAAAGGGCGTCACCATTGGCCATTTACATCTGCAGATGGACGACGGTACGGCAGCTGCTGCGACGGCTTCGTCTGCACACGCGGGTGCTCTAAATGTAGAAAACATGGACGAGGATGACGTGGTTGTCCATGAATACTTGATGCGCCAAGAAGCGCTACTGCTCGAGCGCAAGCAGCAACGCGAGATAGCGTCGTTTGACGCTGCTGTGGCTCACCTCCGTCATGAGAAACTCGCTCTCGAGGTCGGCTTCAAGCAAGCGGAACTTCGGCTGTTCACTCTCCTTAGCGAGTTGTCGCTGCTTGAGTCGTTCGAGAGCAAGGAAAACCTGTTGAGCAGTAAACTCGAGAAGAGTAAAGGGGAAAAGGCGCAGATTGTGGCGGACCTGCGCGATGTCCAAGACCTGCTGACGATCAAGAAACGCGATCTGGATGAATGGGCGCGACAGGAGAAGGCTGTGCAAGCAGAGTTCCTGACGCTTGTGAACGGCGGCACGGGGTCAAGTGCGACACCTCACCCGAGCTTTGCGGCGCTGCAGAAGCTGTTTAAGCGCAAGATCAAGCGAGCTAAGAAGAAACCCGCTTCAGGTGGCAAGGAAGAAGGGAAAGAGCCTGACAGTGCGAGAGACGGCGAGGAGCTAGAAGACGACGATGAAGAAGAAGAGGACGAAGACGAAGACTATGACGAAGATGACGACGACGATGACGAAGAAGAAGATGATACATGTCCGTCGGGATGCGACTTGACTCTGTACGAGAAGGTGCTGGCCCTGCGTGAGAAGCGTGCCGATGTAGACGACGCCATGGGGGAGCTGAACAAGGCGATCGAAGAGCTTCGGAAGGCCGGAGAGCGTCAGACAGCCAAGCAACGTGCGATTGACACGGAGTTGGCTGCGACGGAGCAGGATACGCAGCACTTCCAGAGTGAAAAGCAGTCGCGCTTCAACCAGCTTGACGTCGTAGTGCCGCTCAGTACGCGGCAACTATGTTGTCTTGAAGCTCCGTCTCCGACTCGGCAAAACTGGACGCTACCTGCTCAAGCTGCTGACTGCCTCGTGTTCACCACTCGCGCCTTCTCTGCGTTGTCCGAGCGTATCGAGTCGCTGCAAGCAGAGAACAAGAAGCTGCGTCAGCAGTTCCGAGACCTCCACAAGCAGCAGAACGTGCTTGCTAAGGAGAAGCGTCAACAGCAAGAAGCCATTGCAAGAGCTCAGGACCGCAGCGAGCAGCTCATGCGACTGAAATTCGGACAGCTAGTGGACCTGGAGGTGCTGGATCGCGCTTGTGACGCGTCTTCGGTCGACGAGCTGCAGACTCGCGTCAAGTTACGCGAGGTCGAAGGTGAGCGAGCTCTGCGTCGTGCCAAGCAGACGCACCCGCAGCTGCAACACGCTATTCTGCAGGCGACCGAGCAGAACACGGCCTTGTTAGCTCAGATCGCTGCACTCACGGAGCGTCAGGCCGAACTGGAACGCGAACTCAATCGTCATCAGGGTGGTGGCAGTAGCAGTGGGGACAGTGGCGGTGTACTCAGTCTTGACGAAGACGAGGCCTTGGTTGAGCGCGAGATGAAGGAGCGCAACAAGCTCGTGCGGCTGGTGAAGCTGCAGGCCAGAGAAGTTGAAGCGCTCAAGCAGGAGATCGGACTGCTGCGCGGCAAAGATGGAAAAGTGTATGCGCCTCGAGGGTAGAGCTTGGCGACGAGTAGGATCCAGAGCGGTTAATACAGAGTCTTGCTCGATAGAGTGGGAATGTGCTGATGGAGGCTAATGGTTATCTTGAGTGCAGCGCTTGAGGTGGCGAGGTCGCTTGTGTGGTGGAAATCAAAACCGAAAGTGAATCGTTCGAGCAGGAAGACAAGACGCAGTCGAAGTCAAAGGTTTGTGGTAAAGAGATCGAGTGGAGAGGTGCTTGTGCGTTGGAGCTCAAAACCGACAACGACCTTCGGTTTTGAGCTGCAACGCACCCACTCGCTGTAGCCACTGCGATCACTTCTGACCTGCTTGACTTCAGAGTGATAAGAACGCACGTAAACTTCAGCATATGCAATAGATTCGAGTCTCTTGTCTTGAAACTGGAGGTTGCAGATCTCATTGCCATCACACCTGTGCTTGTAGTGGAGTGGCGCTACATTACAAGTCCGTACAATGCTGATCTTGCGATGGGCAGCATTATACTCTGAAAATTTGCTCCGATACTAACGTGCACTTGAATCTCGACATGAATATGAATCAATCCAATGCTGACCAGGTGCTAGTAACACCGGCACCCGCAGATTCATGCAACAACAATGAGAGGTGTTAGCACCAAAACGCTGAAAAACTATAAACTTTTGTTGAGCTTTTTTGTTGTCACTGGGATGAGACGATCAATGTACTGCAAAGTATGATTGAGAAGCAATTTGTAGACGAGTGACCTGTGTTTACCAAGTGACCAAGTGCACTAAATTTAGTGTTGCAGTGATTTTAAGACTTCCAAACTTCACACACTCTATGGTAAGGAAGCAAATACTGCATCACACCATCAGCGCTCCACAAATCGCAGTCATGAGCTATTGTTCGGCTTTCAAGTTCGAAGAAGCAAAACGTGACGTGGAAAATCGACTCGAATTGCTATTCAGCTGCAAGAAAACGTTCTCTGAATCAGCGTAGAGCTTGTACAAACCACGTTTCATTCTGTTGAGTAAAAAGGTACCACAATGTCAACTCAAATAAGGCAAATACACGAAGAAATACAACTTGATCTTTGGTAGAACCACTCAATCCGACCCAAAGCACAGCGCGTTTAAAACTCCTCGAGCCCCACGGCTGTCTCGCAATCGACAGTGTAGCAGTAATCGGAGCATCACGCCACACTTGAATACCATGTGAGTGCCCCGTCGTACTCCATAGCAACGATCCGTCGGCTTCATCTTTGCCATTCAACGCATTGAATCGCCTCCAGTTTACCGATCCTGCAAACCCGTACCGACAAGAAACCTGCTGTCCCGCATTAGCCACAACGTTAGACGCCACTCCTGTCCCGACAGCCACAAGAGCCATAAAGAGCCACCTAGCGCAGAGCAAATACCCACCTTCTGGTTCCTCAAGTTGGTGTAAGCGCAGACGACGTGTATACCTATCTCTCGCATTCGGAGCCCCGCGTGAGCATCCTGCAAACCCGTGTCGACAAGAAATCTGCTGTTCCGCATTATCCACAACATGATACCCCACTCCTGTCACGACAGCCACAAGAGCCACAAAGAGCCAAATAGCGCAGAGCGAATACCTACCCTCTGGTGCCTCAAGACGGCGTAAACGCAGACGAGTGTATACTTATCTCTCGCATTCGGAGCCCCGCGTGAACAAGCTGACATATGCGCAACAACGGTTTTTTTTCGCAGCTCGAAAAACACCCAGCTCATTGAACCCATGCGCTTCAACAACAGCAGCCAGTACTCTCGATCGACCTCCAAACGGTGTTCTGGGGTCACCACTGGCCGAAGCCGCGAGATCCAGCTTGCCCGGCGTGTAGCTGCACATACTTCCCACCCCTTCGCCATTTTCCAAATGCTAGATCTCCGAAGGAGTAAAAATATGCACCAAATTAGACCTCAAAACCGCCGAACAGATTCTTTTCGTACCATATCTCCCACCACTAAACCCCAGATCCAGTGCAAACGTATCCAGCGACCCCTTCTCTCCATGCACTTAGCAATGCGTTGAGCCGGCGTAGACATTGCGCGGACCTCCACATCGTACGTGGAGGCCGTGCCCGCAGTGTTGACGGCCATTTTCAGTCTCGCAACGAGTCAACAATCGTTGATGTTATGGTCGGCAAGGTCGATCCGGTCGACCATCCATGCAAAGTCATACTCTACAGTAAAATCATCACACCACCTTTCAACTACGCACACCTCCAGCGCACCATCACCACGTTGACATGCCATGGAGCGCATGTGGATACCACAATCGGGTCATCTTCACTATGGACAATAATGGCGATTATGTTCCAGCTGGCCTCGCAACACCCTCTACGGTGATTATCCACGGTGGTGTCGGCTTGACGGAGCCGCTATCCGCTGGTTCAATGGTCGAGGCCATCGTTCATGGTCATGCAGCGGGCCAGTTGTAGACATTGTAGGCATTAACGCTCCTCGGCCTGTGCAACATGGCACGGTTGCACTGTAGAAAATGACGTCAAAGTGGCCGTAGCGCGCCCAGTAGGCCGGTTCGGGTGGTGAATGGTATGTGGTGGGGTACTTCGCTACTCGGCACGAGCTAGTAACGTAGCGTTTTGCCTGATTTCCGTCTCTGGTCGCGAAAAATGCCGCCAATCCAGCGGTGGAGACGTTGTTGCATGGCAGGAAAAGTATCCTTCAAGGCCATGGCACCGTATTATCTTTGGCAGTGCAGATAGACGGCGTTAGTGTGCTTTTCACTCGCATTTGTGTGTATTTCATCGCATAGGGCGTGAAGGTGCTCACCTCACGTCGCCGCGTTACGGACAGGACTCGCGTCGAGTCTCTCCACCGTTAGTTCGTGCTCCGTTTCACGATGGTCCGTAGGTAGCTCCTGTTCAGTCACGGCGAACCCAAATCGACTGTAAGTAGCAAGTTGAGAGCGTACTGTACGTGGAATCGGCAGTGTGTCACTGGGCATAGCAGGTCGAAAGTGGTGGACATGTGTTCTTTTTTCCCTCACCTGTCTACAAACGGTAGCGCCGATTCGCAGACGTGAAGTGAGGAGGGCGGCGCCTTTGACGTCGTTAGTGGTACTGTAGAAGCCTAGACAGTGTCAAGCAGCTTGCACTCTAAGCGGTCGTAAGGCGAACTGACAGTCCACGAGAGTCGGTGGTATGGCTCTTGGCTTTTTGACTGGTTCTCTCCCACCGAGGCTTGTACCACGTCGCAGTTTTAAGAAATATGCGGGGAAATAATCTTTTGGCAGATAGCCTTACAAACTTCAAATTCAAATACGAGATCCGACAGCTTTATCTTATTTCCTAGGTGGCCACATGTCGGGCAACAACGCTGTTATTGACGCTGGATCGCAATCCTACCATCACCTATTCACTCGAAGAAAGCGTATGCAACTGAGGACGCCAAGCTGAAGAGTGAAGCCGATGCCCGAGCGAGGTCTACGCTGAGTAAACAGGACTCGTCACGTGACCCTAGTAACAGTGAAAGAACAGCAAATACCGACTTGAGCGCTCTGCCTGCTTTTCATGGAGCTAAAGCCTATGCTGCTTACGTCGAGAGCAAGTTATCGTCTCGTGTTGCTGCAGCTAAGGACAAGGAGGAATACCTCGGCGCTATCCGTCTTGCGAGTGATGACAAGAGTATTGAAGGTCTCCCCAAGGCAACACCTCCTTCCCGAGATGATGGCAAGGCACAAACTGGAGTCTTCGCTACGGCCTTGTTACACTTAAGTGTGGAGGATATCGCAAACTCAAAGGAAGCGTACACAATTGAGGACGCCAAGCTGAAGAGTGAAGCCGATGCCCGAGTGAGGTCTACGCTGAGTAAACAGGACTCGACACGTGCTGTATTGAACCAGATGCGAACTGAACTTCAAGAGCTACAGGCACAAGACGCGGCGTTACCACCTCAAAGTCGCGTCGACTCGGAGGAGTGGGAGATTGATCTGGACTATGGAGATCTGTTGACTCGACAGGGCGATGAGGCGTGCGATGAAGTGCGCAAGGAGCTTGCGTTTGCAGTGGAGAAAGAGGAGCTTCTACTGCTTAAGATGCGAGAGACGTACGTTGGTCCGCTCGCTGTAAAGCTGCTGACGTTGCGTGCGTTTGAAAGTGGATTAAGTGTCCAGTCCTTCCGCACCATGAAGATGCCGGCAACTTTACAGAAACGACTCGCAGATATCCACACTGCAGACGCTGCTGCCAAGAAGCAGCCATCTACTGGAGCGAAGACTGGTCCACCTAGACGAGCGTCGGTATTAGATATCATGGAGAAGGACACTGCGCTGGACGAGGACTTTCCCTTAAAAGAAGACGAGCGACGTAAGCTCATGAGTCATAACGATCCTGCTGTCGGCGGGAATTGCGCAGCATCAAGCGGTCCGACAGCAGTACAGGAGACTAGTGGGTCAAAGTCCGTTCACGGCTTCGAGGCGCGCAAACGACTGCGCACGGAGAGAAAGGAGAGACTGGCACGCTGGCAGAGCAACAAACCAGGCGAAGATGCCGACGATCCCAGAGACGTGGTCGCGATCGCCTTTGCTCAACGCAACATGGGCGACTACAAGCTGAAAACGGCTGCAGACTACGTGGTTCCAGAACATCAGCGTGTCAACGCAGTGAAGAAATTGAGGCAGATGGCGCTCTTGGAGGAGAGTCTGTATGCCGCACGCTTGCGCTTCAACGCCAAAGTGCTGGAGCTTCGCGAGTTGAAGGTGCAGCTGATCAACGAGCTGCATCGCGACCAGGAACGACTAGTCGAACTTCGAGCCGCATTAGCGTCCAGCGGCGCAACACCATCCAGCGTGTCGTCCAAAGATCTAGTTGTGGACCTTCGCGAGTGGCCGGAGCAGCGGGAGTGCGTAAGCGACGCCGACATTGAGCTCTTCCTTCGAGGGCAGAAGGTGATATCACACGTGCAGACTCAGACTGGCGAAGCGCACTTGGCATTGACGCGCATCGGTGGGGCTGAGAAGCGTCCGCAATCAGCAGATCGATCCATCGCTGCCGTCGCACGAGCTCTGGAAGGAACGTCGGGAAAGGAGGCTGCAAAGGGCGTCACCATTGGCCATTTACATCTGCAGATGGACGACGGTACGGCAGCTGCTGCGACGGCTTCGTCTGCACACGCGGGTGCTCTAAATGTAGGAAACATGGACGAGGATGACGTGGTTATCCATGAATACTTGATGCGCCAAGAAGCGCTACTGCTCGAGCGCAAGCAGCAACGCGAGATAGCGTCGTTTGACGCTGCTGTGGCTCACCTCCGTCATGAGAAACTCGCTCTCGAGGTCGGCTTCAAGCAAGCGGAACTTCGGCTGTTCACTCTCCTTAGCGAGTTGTCGCTGCTTGAGTCGTTCGAGAGCAAGGAAAACCTGTTGAGCAGTAAACTCGAGAAGAGTAAAGGGGAAAGGCGCAGATTGTGGCGGACCTGCGCGATGTCCAAGACCTGCTGACGATCAAGAAACGCGATCTGGATGAATGGGCGCGACAGGAGAAGGCTGTGCAAGCAGAGTTCCTGACGCTTGTGAACGGCGGCACGGGGTCAAGTGTGACACCTCACCCGAGCTTTGCGGCGCTGCAGAAGCTGTTTAAGCGCAAGATCAAGCGAGCTAAGAAGAAACCCGCTTCAGGTGGCAAGGAAGAAGGGAAAGAGCCTGACAGAGCGAGAGACGGCGAGGAGCAAGAAGACGACGATGAAGAAGAAGAGGACGAGGACGAAGACTATGACGAAGATGACGACGACGATGACGAAGAAGAAGAGGATACTTGTCCGTCTGGATGCGACTTGACTTTGTACGAGAAGGTGTTGGCCCTGCGTGAGAAGCGTGTCGATGTAGACGACGCCATGGGGGAGCTGAACAAGGCGATCGAAGAGCTTCGGAAGGCCGGAGAGCGTCAGACAGCCAAGCAACGTGCGATTGACAAGGAGCTGGCTGCCACGGAGCAGGATACGCAGCAGTTCCAGAGTGAAAAGCAGTCGCGCTTCAACCAGCTGGACGTCGTAGTGCCGCTCAGTACGCGGCAACTATGTTGTCTTGAAGCTCCGTCTCCGACTCGGCACAACTGGACGCTACCTGCTCAAGCTGCTGACTGCCTCGTGTTCACCACTCGCGCCTTCTCTGCGTTGTCCGAGCGTATCGAGTCGCTGCAAGCAGAGAACAAGAAGCTGCGTCAGCAGTTCCGAGACCTCCACAAGCAGCAGAACGTGCTTGCTAAGGAGAAGCGTCAACAGCAAGAAGCCATTGCAAGAGCTCAGGACCGCAGCGAGCAGCTCATGCGACTGAAATTCGGACAGCTAGTGGACCTGGAGGTGCTGGATCGCGCTTGTGACGCGTCTTCGGTCGACGAGCTGCAGACTCGCGTCAAGTTACGCGAGGTCGAAGGTGAGCGAGCTCTGCGTCGTGCCAAGCAGACGCACCCGCAGCTGCAACACGCTATTCTGCAGGCGACCGAGCAGAACACGGCCTTGTTAGCTCAGATCGCTGCACTCACGGAGCGTCAGGCCGAACTGGAAAGCGAACTCAATCGCCATCAGGGTGGTGGCAGTAGCAGTGGGGACAGTGGCGGTGTACTCAGTCTTGACGAAGACGAGGCCTTGGTTGAGCGCGAGATGAAGGAGCGCAACAAGCTCGTGCGGCTGGTGAAGCTGCAGGCCAGAGAAGTTGAAGCGCTCAAGCAGGAGATCGGACTGCTGCGCGGCAAAGATGGAAAAGTGTATGCGCCTCGAGGGTAGAGCTTGGCGACGAGTAGGATCCAGAGCGGTTAATACAGAGTCTTGCTCGATAGAGTGGGAATGTGCTGATGGAGGCTAATGGTTATCTTGAGTGCAGCGCTTGAGGTGGCGAGGTCGCTTGTGTGGTGGAAATCAAAACCGAAAGTGAATCGTTCGAGCAGGAAGACAAGACGCTGTCGAAGTCAAAGGTTTGTGGTAAAGAGATCGAGTGGAGAGGTGCTTGTGCGTTGGAGCTCAAAACCGACAACGACCTTCGGTTTTGAGCTGCAACGCACATGCACCTCTCCACTCGCTTTAGCCACTGCGATCACTTCTGACCTGCTAGACTTCAGAGTGATAAGAGCGCACGTAAACTTCAGCATATACAATAGATTCGAGTCTCTTGTCTTGAAACTGGAGGTTGCAGATCTCATTGCCATCACACCTGTGCTTGTAGTGGAGTGGCGCTATATTACAAGTACCGTACAATGCTGATCTTGCGATGGGCAGCATTATACTCTGAAAATTTGCTCCGATACTAACGTGCACTTGAATCTCGACATGAATATGAATGAATCCAATGCTGACCAGGTGCTAGTAACACCGGCACCCGCAGATTCATGCAACAACATGAGAGGTGTTAGCACCAAAACGCTGAAAAACTATAAACTTTTGCTGAACTTTTTTTGTTGTCACTGGGATGAGACGATCAATGTACTGCAAAGTATGATTGAAAAGCAATTTGTAGAGGGGTGCTCTGTGTTTACCAAGTGACCAAGTGCACTAAATTTAGTGTTGCAGTGATTTTAAGACTTCCAAACTTCACACACTCTATGGTAAGGAAGCAAATACTGCATCACACCATCAGCGCTCCACAAATCGCAGTCATGAGCTATTGTTCGGCTTTCAAGTTCGAAGAAGCAAAACGTGACGTGGAAAATCGACTCGAATTGCTATTCAGCTGCAAGAAAACGTGCTCTGAATCAGCGTAGAGCTTGTACAAACCACTTTTCATTCTGTTGAGTAAAAAGGTACCACAATGTCAGCTCAAATAAGGCAAAAACACGAAGAAATACAACCTGATCTTTGGTAGAACCACTCAATCCGACCCAAAGCACAGCGCGTTTAAAACTCCTCGAGCCCCACGGCTGTCTCGCAATCGACAGTGTAGCAGTAATCGGAGCATCACGCCACACTTGAATACCATGTGAGTGCCCCGTCGTACTCCATAGCAACGATCCGTCGGCTTCATCTTTGCCATTCAACGCATTGAATCGCCTCCAGTTTACCGATCCTGCAAACCTGTGCCGACAAGAAACCTGCTGTCCCGCATTAGCCACAACGTTAGACGCCACTCCTGTCCCGACAGCCACAAGAGCCACAAAGAGCCACCCAGCGCAGAACAAATACCCACCTTCTGGTTCCTCAAGTTGGTGTAAGCGCAGACGACGTGTATACCTATCTCTCGCATTCGGAGCCCCGCGTGAGCATCCTGCAAACCCGTGTCGACAAGAAATCTGCTGTTCCGCATTATCCACAACATGATACCCCACTCCTGTCACGACAGCCACAAGAGCCACAAAGAGCCAAATAGCGCAGAACGAATACCTACCCTCTGGTGCCTCAAGACGGCGTAAACGCAGACGAGTGTATACTTATCTCTCGCATTCGAAGCCCCGCGTGAACAAGCTGACATATGCGCAACAACGGTTTTTTTTCGCAGCTCGAAAAACACCCAGCTCATTGAACCCGTGCGCTTCAACAACAGCAGCCAGTACCCTCGATCGACCCCCAAACGGTGCTCTGGGGTCACCACTGGCCGGGGCCGCGGGATCCAGCTTGCCCGGCGTGTAGCTGCACATACTTCCCACCCCTTCGCCATTTTCCAAATGCTAGATCTCCGAAGGAGTAAAAATATGCACCAAATTAGACCTCAAAACCGCCGAACAGATTCTTTTCGTACCATATCTTCCACCACTAAACCCCAGATCCAGTGCAAACGTATCCAGCGACCCCTTCTCTCCATGCACTTAGCAATGCGTTGAGCCGGCGTAGACATTGCGCGGACCTCCACATCGTACGTGGAGGCCGTGCCCGCAGTGTTAACGGCCATTTTCAGTCTCGCAACGAGTCAGCAATCGTTGATGTTATGGTCGGCAAGGTCGATCCGGTCGACCATCCATGCAAAGTCATACTCTACAGTAAAATCATCACACCACCTTTCAACTACGCACACCTCCAGCGCACCATCACCACGTTGACATGCCATGGAGCGCATGTGGATACCACAATCGGGTCATCTTCACTATGGACAATAATGGCGATTATGTTCCAGCTGGCCTCGCAACACCCTCTACGGTGATTATCCACGGTGGTGTCGGCTTGACGGAGCCGCTATCCGCTGGTTCAATGGTCGAGGCCATCGTTCATGGTCATGCAGCGGGCCAGTTGTAGACATTGTAGGCATTAACGCTCCTCGGCCTGTGCAACATGGCACGGTTGCACTGTAGAAAATGACGTCAAAGTGGCCGTAGCGCGCCCAGTAGGCCGGTTCGGGTGGTGAATGGTATGTGGTGGGGTACTTCGCTACTCGCCACGAGCTAGTAGCGTAGCGTTTTGCCTGATTTCCGTCTCTGGCCGCGAAAAATGCCGCCAATCCAGCGGTGGAGACGTTGTTGCATGGCAGGAAAAGTATCCTTCAAGGCCATGGTACCGTATTCTCTTTGGCAGTGCAGATAGACGGCGTTAGTGTGCTTTTTACTCGCATTTGTGTGTATTTCATCGTATAGGGCGTGAAGGTGCTCACCTCACGTCGCCGCGTTACGGACAGGACTCGCGTCGAGTCTCTCCACCGTTAGTTCGTGCTCCGTTTCACGATGGTCCGTAGGTAGCTCCTGTTCAGTCACGGCAAACCCAAATCGACTGTAAGTAGCAAGTTGAGAGCGTACTGTACGTGAAATCGGCAGTGTGTCACTGGGCATAGCAGGTCGAAAGTGGTGGGCATGTGTTCTTTCTTTCCCTCACCTGTCTACAAACGGTAGCGCCGATTCGCAGACGTGAAGTGAGGAGGGCGGCGACTTTGACGTCGTTAGTGGTAGAAGCCTAGACAGTGTCAAGGAACTTGCACTCTAAGCGGTCGTAAGGCGAACTGACAGCCCACGAGAGTCAGTGGTATGGCTCTTGGTTCTCTCCCACCGAGGGTCGCAGTTTTAAGAAATATGTGACGTGGTACGGGGAAATAATCTTTTGATACATCTGAATCAGATGATCTGATGTATCCTGCAGATACATGTAGCCTTACAAACTTCAAATTCAAATACGAGATCCGACAGCTTTATCTCATTTCCTAGGTGGCCACATGTCGGGCAACAACGCTGTTATTGACGCTGGATCGCAATCCTACCATCACCTATTCACTCCAAGAAAGCGTATGCAACTGAGGACGCCAAGCTGAAGAGTGAAGCCGATGCCCGAGCGAGGTCTACGCTGAGTAAACAGGACTCGTCACGTGACCCTAGTAACAGTGAAGGAACAGCAAATACCGACTTGAGCGCTCTGCCTGCTTTTCATGGAGCTAAAACCTATGCTGCTTACATCGAGAGCAAGTTATCGTCTCGTGTTGCTGCAGCTAAGGACAAGGAGGAATACCTCGGCGTTATCCGTCTTGCGAGTGATGACAAGAGTATTGAAGGCCTCCCCGTGGCAACACCTCCTTTCCGAGATGATGGCAAGGCACACATTGGAGTCGCCGCTACGGCCTTGTTACAGTTAAGTGTGGAGGATATCGCAAACTCAAAGGAAGCGTACACAATCGAGGACGCCAAGCTGAAGAGTGAAGCCGATGCCCGAGTGAGGTCTACGCTGAGTAAGCAGGACTCGACACGTGCTGTATTGAACCAGATGCGAACTGAACTTCAAGAGCTACAGGCACAAGACGCAGCGTTACCACCTCAAAGTCGCGTCGACTCGGAGGAGTGGGAGATTGATCTAGACTATGGAGATCTGTTGACTCGACAGGGCGATGAGGCGTGCGATGAAGTGCGCAATGCGCTTGCGTTTGCTGTGGAGAAAGAGGAGCTTCTACTGCTTAAGATGCGAGAGACGTACGTGGGTCCGCTGGCTGTAGAGCTGCTGACGTTGCGTGCGTTTGAAAGTGGATTAAGTGTCCAGTCCTTCCGCACCATGAAGATGCCGGCAACTTTACAGAAACGACTCGCAGAGATCCACACTGCAGACGCTGCTGCCAAGAAGCAGCCATCTACTGGAGCGAAGACTGGTCCACCTAGACGAGCGTCGGTATTAGATATCATGGAGAAGGACACTGCGCTGGACGAGGACTTTCCCTTAAAAGAAGACGAGCGACGTAAGCTCATGAGTCATAACGATCCTGCTGTCGGCGGGAATTGCGCAGCATCAAGCGGTCCGACAGCAGTACAGGAGACTAGTGGGTCAAAGTCCGTTCACGGCTTCGAGGCGCGCAAACGACTGCGCACGGAGCGAAAGGAGAGACTGGCACGCTGGCAGAGCAACAAACCAGGCGAAGATGCCGACGATCCCAGAGACGTGGTCGCGATCGCCTTTGCTCAACGCAACATGGGCGACTACAAGCTGAAAACGGCTGCAGACTACGTGGTTCCAGAACATCAGCGTGTCAACGCAGTGAAGAAATTGAGGCAGATGGCGCTCTTGGAGGAGAGTCTGTATGCCGCACGCTTGCGCTTCAACGCCAAAGTGCTGGAGCTTCGCGAGTTGAAGGTGCAGCTGATCAACGAGCTGCATCGCGACCAGGAACGACTAGTCGAACTTCGAGCCGCATTAGCGTCCAGCGGCGCAACACCATCCAGCGTGTCGTCCAAAGATCTAGTTGTGGACCTTCGCGAGTGGCCGGAGCAGCGGGAGCGCGTAAGCGACGCCGACATTGAGCTCTTCCTTCGAGGGCAGAAGGTGATATCACACGTGCAGACTCAGACTGGCGAAGCGCACTTGGCATTGACGCGCATCGGTGGGGCTGAGAAGCGTCC